TCTTTAAGAATAAAGATGATGCACAAGATTGTGCAAATTATAGAGGAATTAAGTTGATGTGTCATACTTTAAAAACTATGGGAGAGTTATGGAGCATAGGTTACGACGTGATACTAATGTTTCTCACAATCAATTTGGATTCATGTTAGGTAGGTTTACTGTGGAAGCCATACATTTATTGAGAGGTTTGATAGAGAAGTATAGAGAGAAAAAGGAACATCTTCAAATGATATTTATTGATTTAAAGAAAGTAAATGATAAAGTTCCAAGATAAGTGCTATGGAGAGTTCTAAAAAGTAAGAGTTTAATAATATTTATATTCAAGCCATTAGGGATATGTATGTTAGAGTTGTTACTTATGTTCAAACACAAGGTGCTTTGACCAAGTATTTTTCAAATTCAGTTGAATTACATGAAGGATCAACCTTACGCCCATATCTTTTTTCTTTAGTCATGGATGCTCTCACTAGAGATTTGCAAGAGGATGTTCCCTGGTTTATGCTTTTTGCTAATGATATTCTTCTTACAGATAAGACTAAAGAGGGAGTTGAAGGTAAACTTGAATTATAGAGGTCAACCTTAGAGTCTAAAGGTTTTTGTTTGAGTAGATTTAAAACCGAATACATGGAGTGTAATTCTAATAATAATAGATCTAGTGGAGGGTTTATGAATTTAAGCGATCAAGTCATTAATAAGAGTACACGTTTTAGATATCTTGAGTATATTGTTCAGAGTAATGGTGAAATAGATGGGGATATTATTATTAGAATTCAAGTTGGATGGATGAAGTGGAGGAATGCATCTGGCTTATTGTGTGATAGAAATGTACCACTCAAACTTAAGGGAAAATTCTATAAGATCGTGGTTAGACCTGCAATGCTTTATGGCGCAAAATGTTAGCCGCTAAAAGAGAAGCATAAATATTATGTTAAGTGTTGCAAAGATGAGGATGCTAAGGTGGATGAGTGGCTTTACTCTTAGAGACAAGATACTAAAGGAGCATATACATGAAAAGGATGGAGTAGCTCTAGTGGCAGATAATATTAGAGAGAGTCACCTTAGATGGTTTGGTCACATAAAACGGCGGCCTTCCGATGACACAATTAGGAGAGTAGATGTATTAGATTTAACCTATGCTAAGAAAGGTAGAGGTAGACCTAAAAAGACTTGGTTAGAAAATATTAGAAATGACCTTTCTTTATTAGATCTAAATAAAAATTTGACTCCTAACCCTACACAATGGAAAAAAAGAATTCATGTAGCTGACACCACCTAGTGGGATAAAGGTTTGTTGTTGTTGTTCTTGTAATCTCTCTTTACTAGCGTGTTAAGGTTACTACCTTTTGATGCTAGCATGACTATCTTTGGCTTTTGTAATGTTGTCTGTTTAGATTTGGCTGTTGTTTCACTTGCAGCTTGCCCATTACCTTCGGCGGTTAGGATGTGGTCTCTTGGTTGTTGTTTCACTAGTTGTTAGGCTGCTATCTTTGGCTATTGTTTCAATCTTGACTAGCCTGCTACCTTCAGCTATTGAGTGTTATCGTTACCTATTGTATTTTTTGCTTCAATTCTAAGCAGTTTGAATAGAAATTATAATTCAGCGTCTTAATACTTTTAATTGGGCGTTCTCCATTGTGATTTGCTAGTTCTATTGCAATTCTTTTTTAATTTAATCCCACAACTCCACTAATCATCTCAACTTTCTGAGAGCATTAATTAAGGCATTATGATTACATAATTAATAGTATCATCTTACACATGGAATCATCTCTTCTTTTTTTAAAAAAAATTTGAAATTACACAGCTTTCCAGATTTGAAAGATGCGGCAAACACAGAAAGGGAAGCCTTAAAAATAAAAGGTCTAAATTGACAAAAAAAAGGTCGTATCAATGAAGTAATTCTAGTAAATATAAATGTAATATATTGTAAGATAGGGAAATATGAATGTCAGTCAAATTGAGACTGTAATTTGTAAGTGTAAAAGGTATCTCAATCCAATTCTAGTGTATTGTCTCTTCACTTCTAACACTGTCGTTGCTAGGTCCCAAGTCCATAACACTATCGTTGACAGGTCCCAAGTCCTAGATGAGAAAAATGGAGAGTTGCATTAGGTAGTCGACAGCCAACATAAAACTTGTTGAATAAGAATAATCAAATGAATCCTTTAATACATTATTTCTTCTTCAATTCATTGAATAATATTAATACTTTGTTTCTTTGTATTATATAATCATTTTAAATTTTGTGAATTTTTTCCAATGAATTTTCATTCAATAATTTCAAGCAAACTCAAAATCAAAATGATCCTGCTTGTTTCAATTTCAAGCCAAATTGTAATTGAAAAAAAAAAAAAAAACATTCAAGCTGACTCAGAAACAAAACAAACTAGATTGATTTCAACTCAATTTTAAGCCAAGATGGCTCTAAATCAATTAGAATTGTGAGCCATGACCTAATTTTGAGCCCGTCTCCAATTCATAGATCTGTTTTGACCCACCCTCAGCGCGACTCAAAATCGAATCGTTCATAGCCCTATTATTTACTCATGGCAATGTGCCATATCCATGCCATACTTTTACAAATGCTTCATCTTCATAAGCCTTATCCCATCTACTTGTTTTCAGAAATCATCTTTATTCATTTTTCTTTCCTATTAAATATTACATGAGACTTTAATTCCATTTTGCATCTTTTTTTACAACATTCAGCCATAATATCTTTAGACATGTCCATTTTTCCTGATAACATTCCACACTAATTATATCTAATAGCTTCATTTACATCACCTTCTAATTGCAATTAATAAAAACTACCTTTAAGAATCCAGATATCATGGTAGTCCTTAAAACTTGTAAATTTTAATCACCCAACCTCAACTCTAAAGTCATGTCCCCATATATGTCTTATTTCTTTTGCATAAATGAGCAAAAATATTTAACTTGTCACACCTTCGTAATACTTAATATTCATTGACTAATGATTATCAATTTCAACCTATAAAATTACATACCATGTTCCTAGTCGTTGTTCTACCAATCATTAGCTCTTTATCTTTTTAAAAAATCTTATATTTTAACTTTCACCTTAAAAAAAGATCCCATCTATCAAAACCCATTAAATCTTGACATTAATTGATGTTCTGACTAACAAATATTAATTTCAAAATGACTTCAATTACATATAATGTGCTTAATTTTTGTTTATCTAACCACTAGCCCCTTCCTATTTAAAAATTATTGCCAGTGTTTTAACCTTTCACTTTAAAAAAGGCCTGAACCATCAAAACTATAATGACAATGCTTCATAGCAATCATTACATCGTTGAGATGATAATAGTTATCAGACGCCTTGCTAAATGGGAATATTGGCATATTCATTAGCCAAAAAGTTTCAAAGTCAATGAAGCATCGTATTAACCCTGGTTCAATTTAAATCTCCAGGTAAAATTTAGAAACAATAAAATAAAACGTGTTGGCAGCATGGACAGAACATTTTCTGAAATTTTATATGAATGCATAAGGAATTCAAACTAACAATCAGGTCATCAGTTGCTAGAGGTTTGCATCTAAACACCGGTTACGGATATTGTGGCAATGCCTCCAATTTCTTCCAAAATGCAACTAAAATGACTAGGAGGCTACCATTAGAATGAGACTTACCATAATAAAATTTGAACCTGAAGAATTTTTTTAAAACAGGCCGATTGTATGATGAGGCCCTTTTTCTGGAAAGCGCTTTTTTTCATTTAAAAACCAATCAGGCAAAAAATTCAAAAAGTTCATGAAAAACTATATTATCCTCCGTACAACTGCTGCAACTACATATATTACTTTGGAGAGAAACTTCGTCATGCCTTTGTGGATCAATTTTATTTTAATGTAAGAGAACAACAAAAAGGACTATTATGCGTGGTATAAATAACATTGCTAATGAAAATAAGCCAAAACTTCATCAAATTAGTTATTTAATAAATAATGTCTCCAAAAACCAAATATGAACTTTCAGCAAATCCAAAGCCGGCTAGTGATAGCTTTCTTTGTTACTGTTACTGCATCCTTAACGTACGAACCCTCTAGATAGAAATTAAAAACAAGTATAAGATCTATTTAGAATTTATGGCATAAACATAACAAGAATCATCATCATGCCATAAAAAGTATTGAACATTTCTTACAACACTTTTGCATTATATAAGCAGAGTTGCAAACTAGGGATAATTAACAAGTTATAAGCTGTAGTTAAGTGTGTCAAATGGACCAGGCTACCCACTTAACCCTATAATCCCAGAGCTTTAGATGGGTTGTCCCTAATGAAAATCAGCTTAAATGTGTCAACACATTAACCCCCTCACTGACAAACTAACTTTGGTTTACATATCCTAGCGGCACATATATCCACACAAAGTTCAGTCAATTTTGACAAACAAAACGTCAAGTTAATTTTAAATTACTTCTACTGGATAAATATATTATATTTAAAACGAGGCCAAATGGGCCTTAATGAGTCGCACAGTTGACATCCCTAGTGTTGACAAATATTTTCGTATCGACTCGACCCCGATCAAGCCCGACAAAGCTCGATAGCTCTCGATCAACTCAATTGATCATCGTCGAGGTGAAATTAATTCAAATTAAGCCTCAATTTAATTAAATTAAATCAAATTTAATTTAATTTAAATCAAATCAAAATCAATCAAACCCCGTCGAGCATCGTTTTGACAAGAAACCACTTTTTGATTCCTATAAAGAATTCATTTGAAGCGCAAATGCTTCACCGAAGAATATAGCGAATGGTAATTTCAACCCAAAGTAATCCCTAAGGCATAATGTTATCATGTTTAAATGCAAGCTACTCTATACACGGACATATAGAAGGGATAAAGGAAATATAAAACCACTAAAACGCTTCATGAAATATCAGTTAATATCAAACTGATTCAAAATCAAATCAACGATAAGTACATTAAATTATATATTCAAAGACAAGGTGACAGGAATACCTTGAAACATTTGAAGTGATTCAGTATTGATGGAATTCCAATTTCCATCACCGAAAGAGTGCTTAAAAAGCTCATGACTGAAGATCTCAGACTCCTTTTGTTCTCCACAAACCTTCACAATCCATTGAAATAAAGGTGAATTACATTAAAAAAAAAAAAATTTATGGATAAAGGAGTATAATAAACACCTATTGAAAACAAATTTACTATTTGGGGGAAAAAAATCTTACATCACAGTGATAAACATCATCAAAATTTGGCATTGTACAGTTACTGCAGAACCACTTCTTGAAGACTAAATGATTAACAGGTTCCCAATCACTGTCATCCTCCTCATCGTACTCATCATCACCATAATTTTCCTGATGATGGAGATCACACAATGTATTGCCTCTCTGCTCGCCATTATGTTCAAATTGTACAGCACCGGAAACACCCAAGCAACCATTATCAGCATCATTGCTCATCGCAGCTACTTTAATAGTCAAGGAACCGCGTGTTGTAGCTACATCATCTGAAACTTTTTCCTCCAAAATTTTATTTTCATAAAGCAAGGTGGCACCCATTCATTCAAGATAGAGCTATTTTGGCAGTCAGTCTTATTTATTCACCGAGGCACATAACGGTGCCCAGAGAAATTACAATCGTTTTGAGTCATACACAAATCCAAATGATGCCATAACCATGAAACATAAGATCAGTTCTAATAATTTATAATAGCATCACAACAGAGCTAGCAGCGCGCATAAAAAATAACCTGAAAAAGAAATAGGAAAAGCCACATCAGAAAGAAGATGAAAAAGAAGAAGTTAATCTTACAGAATAATGGAATGCCCAAAGTGAAAAAGGGATTATAAAAGGAAAATTAAAAAAAATAAACCAAATTGTGAAATATTGAAATTCCAACACATAAATATATGATGTTTACAGAAAAAAAACATGAAACTAAGAGAAAATCCATTCACAAAGGTAAAAAAAAAAAGAGGGGTTCAAATACAAATATTCTTACCAAATTTTAGTACTACAATGACATTATTGAAGTTATAGAATTCTAAGGGCTCAATTGGTAGTGCTTCTCTTTTATATAAAATAGATCAAGAAGATTCTATTAGAAAAAATGCTTTATGAGACTTCATTCTAAAACTACTTCATCAAGGCAAATTTTAGATCCAAATAGGGTGTGCATGCTTTGTGGAAAGCTTAGCTTTCAAAATTCAAATCCTTGGAATTTACACAAATGGGGACAGAAAAAAACAAATTTAAAAAAAAAAACAAGCAAGCTGCTGATTCAGTGAAATCGTTAATAACAACACTACCCCCACTGCCTAAGCTTTGCCATTGGAACCATCAACTCAGCCAGAAAGAATAGGACAGCATAGGATGGCCAAAAGCTAATCTTATCACTTCATATATATTATTACTGGTTAAAACTCCATCATATGCCTATCATAGATCATACTTCTCAAGGAAAAATGCAATATTAAGGGCTACGGCTCAAAATTTCCTAAAGCAAGAGGTAAGATACTTGCTTTTACTGAATAGTTGCCCAGTCTTAAAAAGGCCTCAGGTAAAAAATTATTTCTGAGGCTTTTTTCACAACTCAAACTATTGATATTCAGAAAATATTGGAAATAAATGCAAGAATTAGAACATAGAAAAATCAAGAGGCTTCATTTACAAAATTATATATGTAAGAACTGGCATTCAACAAAAAAATTATATAAGTAGCATTTATAATTAAAACCTTTTTATCGTGAATTAAGAATTGTAATACAATCAACTAGATATCTCCTAATCAAATCAAATATGATGAATAACATAACCTTCTGTGCTTCACATAAAATAAATTTAATATGAGAAAGAAAAGCATTAACAAAAAGGAGGCCGAAAAAGATCGAATAAGGGAATAAATAACATAAATTTAAACTTGTCACACATGTTAACCCATAAGGTTCACCAAAGAGACTATATTGAAATAACGTTTTGAGATTTAGAAAAGCATTTGGTGATCCTTGATCTGCCAAATTGGTTGATGTTTTACAATATCCTTGATCTGCCAACTTTGCATAAACAAGGTTACATTGAATTAATTCCTCAGGGCCACGAATAATTTGACTTTGGGGAATTGAAATGTTACCTAAGGAAAACTGAAAGACCTCGATGTATTGTTAATTTCATCCAGTACAAACCATGTCATAAGGCAAACAAGAAAATGAAATACATCCTCATGTAGAGGTGATGAAAGAAAGTCCATCACAAGGAAGAACAAATGAAGAGGAAGAACACCTTCAACAAAACTGATAGAAGGCGCTCGCCATAGATTCTCAAGAACATCATTCACATTTCCAAAAATATACCACTAAAAGTATTGAAGTTTTCATAAACAGTTATGACCGATCTAAATGATCATTATATTTTATATAATTGACTGAAAAAACTTGTGTTTTCTTCATTTAGGCAAAGATTTGACTTGGCTGACCATATTGGGTTGGCTTGATCAGATAGGATTTGGTTAATCAATTGGTTAGGTTGCATGGGTCAAGCATGATTTTGGAAAATGGGTCAAATTAGTTTTGGAAATAAATATTAAGTTTAATTGGGTCTAGAGAGTTGGAAAAAATATGGAAAAAAATACTGAAAAGAGATTATGATAAAAGCTTGAGTTCAAATATTGAATTCAGGTCTTTGAAATTCAATATTTGAATTCAATTTGAAATTTGAAATTCAAAGCACAAGAATTTTTAAAAGATAATGTGGAGATAATTGTGAAGGATTTTATGAATAGAAATCTTGGTTAAAAAATAAAAAGAAATGACATAAAAATGACAACAATTTTTCAAATTTTATTTGAATTTTGAATTAAAATTCAATTTTCATCAAACTTTTCACAAATTAATATTCTTTTTTTTTACATCAAAATTTTTAGTTTTCCCCTTTTTCTGAGCTTATTGTGACAAATCAAATAGATTGATGTGACAAGCTGATGAAAGAAGACTTTGGATGCAAGAACAAGGAAGAATATCAAAAACAGGAACATAATTTTACATAAACCAAAAATTGAAACGCTCAAGAGGTAGGATTTCATGATCTAGATTGGATTTCAAAGGGAGAGGTTGGGTGGAAGTTTTTCAAAATTAATGTTGAGTGTGTATGGCATGATAGACAGAATGAATTAGAAAAAGATGAAGTGATACCAAATTCTCTTGAAAACTAAAAATCAAGACATTAGGCTCAGTTTAATATTGTTTCTTTAATTGCTTGTGATGTGTTATATACTGGTGTTTTGTTCTCTGTTGTCACGTAGATGAATGTTTGGTAAAATCTTGTTAAAATTGTGGTTTTACATGTTGTGAGTGTTCTGGTTGCTTGTTAAAAAATTGCTGTGATGTTGATATAGGTTGATAGAATGAACAAAGTGGATATATTATGGATTGCATTTAATTATAATAGTATATCCATGATAATAGTATATCCAAATAAGACAATTAATCAGTAAGGTGATAACATAAAAAGCTAAAAATCATAGAAGTACTTTTCTAAAAGAGCTACCATATATATCACACCAAATAGCTGATTTCTAGCTCTCGTGGATGTTATGCCAAACACCAAAATTTATTTATAATGCTCAAGAAAGTATAAGCATACAGCAAAAAACTACACCGACGAACTCTTACTCTTTCATGAAGAACTCTTTTGATTCAAACTTTAGTGCTAGTAATAAATGATGGTGATCAAGTTAATGAAATTATGTTACTTTGATTAGTTGAAAAGAGAAGAATCCAGTGAACAAGAAGAAAATAGGAGGTAAATAGAATAAAGAGGCTAAAAAAAACCGGATTACCTCTATGGTAGGGTGGTAAAGTGTGATAAAGAAAGAAGCTCGCGATTAGACGAAAGAGAGAGGAATCAATTCCCAAAGAGGATGTAAAAGGGAATTCATATCATTATTCCATAATCAATTATCTTTTATTATAACCAGAGGCATATTATTTGTAACACTTGCCATTTTTTTACTGGACAATTTAAGCCTAAGAGAAATGAAAAAAATATATACAAACACATCCACAATTTAAATGACTATTTTCTCCTAACAAATAACAAATGACAAACAAAGATAATGACATCAAAAAGACAAAATAACTAATACCTTATGATCTGACACTAAACAAAGAATCTAGGCTGGTACCTGAAACTGAACATCTAACAATTCAGAAACACTCCCAATTTACTAAACATGTAGTAAAGCCTGACAATTGTATGCCCGCTAATTACTTAGTACTGAACTGTGTTTTTATTTTTTTTTTCATACCATTATGAGTCGTTTGGCTTAATTTTGTGACTGAACAGTAAGCATCTCTCTTGATGATTATTCAGAAAGAAGCCGGATAATCCCAATTTTTTCTCCTCCTCCTTCAAGAAAATTATCAGGCTACGGGCTACTTCAGGGCATTGCTCCATATAAAAAGAACAAGAAATAAAAAATAAAGATATCGGTATATTCCAGCAGCGTTCCTACCGGTCCTAACCCCTAAACCATTCTAATTGTTTCATATCTCGATAGCATCGGCCATGAACTGCAGACTAAAACTTTTAGATGGCAGCTGGGAATCAACATTAAAACTTATTATTAGATCCGAATCTCAACCATGCCCCCTTTCAAAAGAAGACAGTGAGCCAAGGATAAACCCTTGCCAGAGAGCGCAATCGAGGCAAAATATCGCAGGCGCAGAGGCGGAGAAACGGAACATTCCAAAATAACGATTTTCTTATATTAAATTTCAAATAAAACACAAATATTTCAAGAATAATGGCAGCGCTCACCTCACAGCCGTGGTAAAAGTAGATTAGGGTTCGCAAGATCAGAAGGATAGCACGGAGACGAAGATCCTCTCTCTCTCTCTTCCTCTCTCGCTCGCTCTCTTTCGCCAGTTACCACGGATTCGAGCGCGGGATTGTACTCATTTCTGGTTTCTCACGTGGGGCCCATTTCCTAGGGATTCTAACGCATAGCCCATTACCCGCCGTCGCCGAGGAACTTTTATTACGTCTTCTGATCGGACGGGGCTATACGTTACATCAGAGAATTGTTACTCGGTATTTGATGGATATTATTAGGTATTATTTGATAATAACAATAAAATAATACCTAGCAATATCGTTCCGTAAAGAACAATACCGAGTTATACCGAGCAATACCGAATAATTCCAAAAAATATCGAGTTTTACTCAATATTTTTTTGGGATTACTCGGTATAGCTTATTAGTAGCTCAAAATTATAACATTTAAACATGATCCTTTGTTAACAAATGGACAAAATTGATAATGTTCAAATAATAAAATAAATATTCAAACATTCCAATAATGATCATGTTGAAAATAAATCTCAACTCGAGGTGCTCTATTTTAAAAATGCTCTTAAATCCTTATGTAAATTATTTTGGGTTAGAATTCAAGTAAACAATATAGAAAAAAATTAAGAAAATTCAAATCATTCAGGTGAAATCTACCCACCCATAGGGGTGTCAAAATGAGTTTTCGAGTCATGTTCGGGTTGAACCCAAAATTGATTTGGGTCCAAATGGGTTGACCAGAACCTGGCCCGATTATATAAACGAGTCAGAAATTCAAACCTAGACTCAACCCACCGGGTTAACCCAGCCTGACCTGGGAACCCGATATATAGCAAGAGGAGTCTGAACACGAGCATGAATTCGGGTGCACCTATGCGGAAGTCCAGACGCGAACGTTGGTCCGCGAGGCTCGCAACCGCTTCGTCTAGAGGGTGGAGTCCGGATGTGAGTGCAGGTCCAAAGGAGGGCTCGCTAGCATTGTGATGCAGAGGGCGAAGGCCAGAGTCTAAACATGAGCGTTAGTCCGTTGGAGGGTTCATTGGCTCCTAAGACTGGGGTTGCAATTCGAAGGTCAGAGTCTAGGTGTGGTACAGAGAGCGAAGTGTGGGTGCGGTGCAGAGGGAGAAGTGTGGGTGCGGTGAGAAGGACAGATTTTGAACATATAATCGAGCATTATGTCAGGCGGGAGGGTGCAACTCGTGACTCGCGAAGGCTAGATCGTGCTGCGAAGGGCAAAGTATGAGTGCCTCCGGGTCATTTCAAGTTTCCAGGTTTACTTGAATCCAACCTGATTTTATAAACGGGTCAAAATCTCGAACACAAACCCAACCCGTATGGAAAACAGGTTGACATGAACTCTCAGTTTTGACACCCCTACCCTTCCACAAACTTAAAGAAAAATACATCCACGTTTCATAATGGTTTATCAAGGATGACAAATTTAAAAATAACATTATCTCATACATAGCTAATTTTTTGTTCAATATATCGATATAATTCATTCTCAAATGATCTCTCGCTAGTTAGGAAATGATATATGTCCTCTAATTGATGGTTTTACCATCAAAAGACATCACAGATAAATAATTATGATTGGAGCCTCTGATCGAATGGTTGTTGTGTAAAATGACACAACAAAATTTATCACAATTAGAGCATGTGAGTTATAACCCAATCACTAAAAGTCATTGGGTAATAAATCATGGGGTACATTTAATAAGTCACAAAATCCTCTCATAATTAAGATTTACTTAAATTTTAACAAACATCCACTATGAGTTTAAGGGCTCCCTTAGGCTAAGCAATCTCTGGCTACTAATAATGGTATTCTGATTAGGTTAGACCGAGTATCTCCTCTGATTAAGTAAATTATAAACAATGACAAATTACGATGATAAAACTATGTGATCTTGATCTAGTTTGTCATCATTTCCCCGCCTTCTACTTTAAGAGTAACACGATAAATTTCAAATTGCTACTATTATATGCTAAATACTTAGCTTATAACGACAAATTTTAATCGAAAGCTCACTCATCTTCAAGAGGGGTAACTAACCATAAGATCATACTCCTACGAAAAACCATAATCAAAGCATAAATCCTCGTAAAATGAGACTGAAATATATGAGTAGTATTATATCTTAAATTTAATCTACCTTATAAAACTTTGACCTTTAAATTTCAAAACCGTCGTTGTTGAGTTAGGTTGTGAATTTTTTAAGCCCATAATATTATGTTTCACCCTCTCCCTCTATTTAAGAATTGATTCTATGTTCATTTTACTATGCATTCAAATGCGTATTCTCTAATCATACATATATAGACAAGGTTTTAAAAATCGGACCAGACCGACCAGTTCAATCGTGAACCGACCAGTTGTCCGATCAGATCCAATTTAAAAACCGGCTTCACAGAGAACCGGCCTGAACAGGCAATTCAACCGGTGAACCGACGACCGGTTTTAATTTTTTTTATTTTAAATAAAATATAAACACTATATTTTACTTTATTACATTTTTTAAAATAATTTTTTTTATTAAATAATGAGATTTTTAATATCATAATATATGAATGTCATCTCATCTCATTAAATATGTTTTGTTATAAATGAGTGAATTATATAAAGAGTAAAGGCAACCATCTCATATTCCCTCATGAAATATATTCATCATTTCAATTTAATTAATTATATTGAGAGATAATCTATTAAAATTATATAGTTTACATTCTTAGAATTATATGGTTTTAGGTTAGATTACCGTAATTATTATATTAATATTATTAATTTTTAATAATATTATTATTTATTACATCATCCGGTTCGACCTCGATTTGACCAGTAGAACTGGTCGAACCTTGAACCTCTCATTCTTCCGGTTTGTTGTCCGGTCCGGCTTTCACAACCTTGTATATAGATGCATTATGCTCCTAAGGTCATAGAATTAGGGGTGTGATTGAGAAAATTATTTAGCAATTTCATGTTAATGACCTCATTGCTAATGCTCAGATATTCCCCTTCAAGTAGTTAAAGTGTCATGGACTGTAGTTCTTTGATGCCTTAATTCATTAGTTGTTATTAAAGATGGTTGATAATGATGAGAGTGATAGCTACTTTATTGTGTTCAATATTAGAGGAAAAACATAACATTTGGCATTGCTCAATTTAGACTAATCATTAGATCAAAAATTAGAGAATAACTACGTGAGTAGGAATTTAATTATAATGGATTAAGTTATTAGATAACTACCTGGATGGAAAAAACTTCAAGAATTCAGAACTGGAGAGAGCATTCTCGAAGCTCACTAAGATGAATGATGTTTAGAAGCTTGGATTATTTTTTTTATAGTTAGTGACATTATCAACCAAGATAAATAAATTATTAATTTTATCATATACTCGGATTGGTTGACGATGATGAATCATTTCCACGAGTAAGAGTGTGTTGAATACACTTAAACTCAACTCACTAACGAGCTCGCTAGTTGAGTTCATTGAGCCATAAGCTCGAGCTTGAGCTCAAACCTGAATTTGTGTATTAAATGAGCTCGAACTCAAATTTTTACAAGACTCGACTCGTCGGCTTACAAGTTAGCTTGATTAAGATATGTATGTCTTATGCCAATAACAATTGAAAGTAATTGTCCCCACCCACAATTTAAAAGGATGTCTGCCACTCTATAAAGTTGCTCTTATGATTTCTTATAAATGACTTACTGTAATAACTATAATTATTTTTATTGAAGATAATAAGATATTACTCCAAGGCTTATCTGATTTCCTCTTTGCTCTATTCCATATTGCATATACATGAATTTATCTTTCATTCGACTCGAGTCATATCAGGTAGCACAACTATTCAATAGCTCAAGAGTCATATTGTGCAAAACAGTTATTCAATAGCTCCTTCAATTTTGTGATTCACAATGTCGTCATCTTCTTCCAATGATGATGATTTCATCTTTCATTCTCCGGCGAGCTCTGCCACGACTTCATCGTTTTCTTTAAAGTTTAGCAGTTACTCTCATCAGTTTCTTTTCCAACGAGATCCACCCACGACTTCCATCACTGATGCACTGCCAGTGAGCTACCATCATGAATTCCTCTCAAGTTGAGTTATCGGGCCCCTTAAGCATGGGAATAAATTGACGAGCCAACCTCGAGCTCATTCTATGGGCTTCACTTGAGCTCAAGCCCAAATTCAAGCTACACTTTTTATCAACAAGTTAAACTCAAATTCCTTACGTCTCAAGTTCGACTCAACTCATTCACAGCCCTATCCATGGGGTAGGATGCCATAAGAGATAACATGGAGAGAGCTGAAGAGGGATATGATGCATTATGGCCATTGCCATGAAGAATAAAACTCCAACCTAAAATATTGTAATTATAGTTATCATACCATTGTAGTTGGGGATGAGGTATAGAATGAGGAGATGGAGCAGGAGGTGGAGAATATAGAAGATCAATCTCTTGCCATCGCACATAAAAGTGAGGCAAAGTTATAAGGATTTAGAAGGAAAAAGCATAAGAGTAAGAAGTATTTGATTGGAGATTTCAGGCACCGGCGGAGGGAAGGGGGGGCACGTGCCCACCCCCCCCCTACCCCCCCTAAAAAAAAATGAAAAAATAGGGAATCTAAAGATAAAATCGAGTTGAAAACTTCAGAAATTAAACCGGAGACCATCTGAACTTCGATTTCAGCAAACTTATAGTCGAACTGAACGTCTCAAAAATACAAACCCAACGACACCAAATTCGACTCAATCCGAACCCAAATGACTCCAAATCAAAGACCTAAAGCATATTTGGAAGGTTTAAACAATAATTTGGATTATCAAATGGTTTCCAAACATAACATGCTTATATTGAACCCGTTCTAGCAGAAATCAAATGATTTAATGATTGGAAGTCATTTTGAGAAAGGAAAAAAATAAATTAATTAACTATCAAAGTTTTATCATTTTTAAAGCTTATTATATCGGTCCCAAGTCCGGATGTAAAAAGTTGAAGGAAATTTAAAAAAAAATTAATTTAGGCCCCCCTAAAAATAATTTCTGGCTCCGCCACTGATTTCAGGGATCTATTATGGAAGATTAACAAGCCTATTAATCCTTGTGCCAAGCCCCTATGCCTAATTGATGAGAGGTAGTTATCTTTTTTCAAGTCTTGGATGTTATGAATGGTTAACCACTACAAAAACAAGAGTGGGTAGTATAAATGCAACATGAATCAAACATTCCAAAATATGATTAGATAGTAATGTGACAAATCTTTTATTTTATTGAAGGTAAAAACTTCATTAAGTCCATTGATTTTTTATGTTACACTAACTTCCAATTCATCGCTTTTGTTAGCTTGTCGATTATTTATATTATCTAATAAAAGAGTGAGTCTAGCTCTACTAAAAGACATGGGGATCAAATAATATTGTATTGCATAAATTATTTGACCAATACTTCAGATCAACAATAAGAAAAAGAGGAAATATTCCTTCAAGCATCTTAAGAAGCCTTAATGTATGTTATCAGAGAGGAGGAAAAAAATCTATCTTAAGCTATTGCATAACTCATAGATTTTTTAATGAATTTGAACAGAGTAGATTATATGATATATGAGATCTCACTATTTATGAAGGTCATGACATTGTATGACTCTGATCTCTCTAGCACCTCAATGCATAGCCTACACACAATGATGAACTCATTCTATAAGTGATTTCCTTGAATGCTTGAGATGTCAAGCATATTTAATAATATATATGAAATTTTCTCCTCAAAATCTCCTAGAAGTGGGGCACCACCACAGGGCCAAAGATGATGTCCAAGGTCTACAGTAGCACCATTTGAAGTCTTAATTAAAATTTATGCAAAATATTATCACACTGAAAATTGTGAGTGTATTTTATTACACTTCAATGGTAACTATGAAGTATATGCAATACAATACAATTTCTAAAAAAATATAGCAAAACATACAAGAAAAAGATTTTAAAAAATATTTTTTCATTAGGCCAGGCGGCACGTGCCCCCACCCTGCTTCTGCCCCTGTATCATACCATAGATATTGTAATAGCTCTTTGTTGTGTTATAGCTGTTAGATTATACTATTGTATCTAATAATGTGTTATAATTGTGATTGCACTCACTCTACTGCATCAATATTGTAATTTATTGTGATAAGTTTGTTGCAACCGACTATCATATATGTTATAGTTCAACCATATTTGAATAGATTCAAGCTTATTCGAACCATGATTGAACCTTGCTCGAATATGATTCCAACCTTATTCAAATAAGATTTAAACATAATCCGACCCTTGCTCAAATATAATCCAACCTTGATTGTTCAAGGAAAACTTTAAATAAATAGTATGCGACAAAAAAAGATGTTATTTTGATATAAAATAAACTTTCGAATATATTCCTTCAAAAAACAAATAATGAACATATTTCTCCAATTATGAGACATAAATCAAATTTCCTTTATATATATATATACACACACACAACTAGATAAAGATAGGGAAATAAAACTTTGATACATTTTGTAACCACAATTTATTAAGAGTACATCCAACTCATGAAGGCCCTGGGCTTGAAAAAGGAAGACAAATAAAACAAAAGGAGAATTGCATTCTACAGCTGCGTTGACAAGCTAAATAACCGAAACGCTGAAAGGAAAAATGAGGAAGAAAGATTCATATATTGTTGTGGAAGCATTTCAGAATTCAAAACCTTATTGTCTGTTATAGTCATGATTGCTGAGCTGCAATAGAGGCTTCCAAGTACCTCTCCACATTGTCCAGCCCACATAGTTCTTTGACCACCGGCATGGTTGCAGGAACCTGCAACTGGAAAACCAGATTAGGTTCTTCTGATCTATTGGTGAAGATATTAGCTCTCGCAGCTTTTATTGCTTCCCTTGTTGCACAGTGGACTGAAGCAGCTAGTAATAGAGGTGGCTCCCCAGAAGCTGCGCAAATTTATTGGAATTATTAAATATAGTTTAGTTTATGTTCATTTGAAAATACCATGGATAGACTGCAGAAGGGTCATACAAGAATATGTTGAAGTGAGCATATAGTCTAAGTTTATATTAATCTGAAACTGCACAATGAAAAAATACAGTACCATAAAATATGTTAACTGTTTTGAATACTGGTAATCTAATGGATAAAAAGTATTCCAGTAAATATTTAGGGGATTGGAAATAATCAGAACAAGATCAAACAACTGAACAAGTTGGTCCAACTTGAAGCTGCCTCTTCTAATGACGAGAAATTATTTGGTGCGGAGTCCGGACATAGCTCTGTGTCCAGACTCTAATTAAATCCTGACACGTGGAGTGGATACGTTGATATTCAATTGAATTTCTTTTTTTTTTTTAATCTTTTTAGCCCGTCCGACCTAACCTAACCTAGAGTTTTTTAATTTTAGGAAAAGGAGTTTAAGGTTGGCACTCAATTTTAAGAAAAAATCTGCAAAAGCTTCCAAAACCAAATATGTAGGACTTTTGTGAAACTTTTGATGCCAACTGAAAAAGAAAAAACGAGGAATGCTGATGAAGATTGAGGAGAGCATTGCATTCTTCGCGGAGATGGCATGCTCACAGGACGCTGAGACTGAAAGGAGTTTTGCAGACGTCCAAGAGGCAAAAAGTTAATCTAGTTGGAGTTGATGCAGGTTTCAAATTTTCGGTAAATTTTTAATTCATCCCAAGTTGTTATAAGGGTTTCCCAAATTTTTATATTTTTTTGCATAGGGTATGTTGTGTAGATAAAATGCCCATGTTAAAACAAAGCGCAGTACTGGACTCAACTTTAGCTGTGCAGAAAAAGTACATCAAAGCTCAATATAAGTGCATTAGTGATATGCAGTAAAAATGCAGTAATACGCAGTAAAAAATTGTGTATTTACTGTGCTTTTAGCCAGTGTGTGGATAAAATTTGGAGCATTTACTGTGCTTTTTTGTATGCTTTTGATGTTGCACTTTCACTGCGTTTTTGCATCGCTTTTACTACGTATTGAAAAGGTGAGTTCAAGGATGAAAAAGAAACATACGAGGTTTACTGCAATTATACCCATAATGCTACTTTTAGTGTGCACAAGAATCACTACAATTACTGGTCAAATTCTAGAAAGATAAAATGCAATGATTTTGTCTATTCAAAATCTGATTTCAAGAGAGAGTTGATCTGAATTCCTAAATGAAATATCGAAAATCAAACACTAGAACAGATTGTCCAGCTATGATTAGGTTTATAGTAGATGAAGCTGGAAATTGAAAGGTGAAAAACTTTATTGATACCCACAATCATAAATTGGCTAGGCTAGCAGACTGACATCTCCCGGGATCATGTAGAAATATTGATGATGAGAAAGCTTTAGTTCTTAAATCAATGACTGAAGCTGGGATAAGAATCATTGATGCATTTTTTTACCTTGCAGATGAAATTGGAGGTATCGAGAATGTTGAATTCTCTAAGAAGGATGCATACAACTTTATTTAGAAAGAGAAGAGAGAAAAGATTAAATTTGGGGACACTAATTATTTGATTCAATTATTTAAAGATCATCAAGTTGATGACAACATATTCGCATGGGACGTCCAAATTAATAAATTTGATAGATTATTAAATTTTTATTAAGTTAATGAGATGGGTATGATAGATTATGACTGTTTTGGATATGTGATTTTTTATACTAATTATAGGCTTAATAAATATAATTAAATTTGTGCATCATTTATCGAGATTAATAATCATTAACAGAAAATTTTGCTAGGGGTGACATTTTTGTCAGAGGAAATAATTGAATCATTTATATGATTGTTGAGGACATTTGAACGAATGGGTGATAAATATCCAATAGCAATATTTACTGATCAGTACCAGACAATGATAGGGCCATAGAAGTTGAATTTCTCACACTCACCATAGACTACCAATGACACATCTAAAAAAGTTCCATCAAAAGTTGGGTGATTCAATAACAACAACAAAGTCAGAGGCCTCTTCTATAAGTGTTTGAGCAAGTGTGACTCTGAAGAGTTTGAAAAAATATTAACTGAAATGATCATGGAAGGAAACCTCCAAAATCATGATTGGTAGGAGGATCTTTATAAGATAAGGAATAAGTCATAAACAACATCCAATAAGGACTGTTTTAGTATGGACATTCTATCCACATAGCATAGCAAGTCTATTAATAACGTGCCATGATATTTCGAAGCCCACAAGTTCTATAACTAATTATTTTCTAGGCTTAGAGTGATGATGACTTGGCACAAGAATGAACAGTATGAGAATTACAAATGCATTCAACTCGAAATAGTTCTTGTAATCAAAAAGCAATGTTCACTATCAACTCTGCAAAAAAAGAGGTCATCCAGCCAATATATGCTGGCATCGCCTCAATTTGCAATATCCCATCCCGTCCACACCCTCTATAGCACTTCTTGTTGCCACACCCAACACTGCTTCTGACTGGGTCTTGGATTCAAGGGCCTCCGCTCACCTAACAAACAACATTGACAACATCTTTCACCCGTCTGATTATCAAGGTTCAGACTTCGTTACAATTGGTGATGATAGAAACGTTTCTATTGCGCACTCTTGTTCTGGCTTACTTCTCACACCCACACGTAATCTTCTACTTCGTAATCTTCTTCATCTACCTCATCCATCTTACAATTTATTATATGTATCCAATCTTGCTAAAAATAACAATTTATCTATTATGTTTGACGCATTTGGTTTTCAAATAAAGGACCGGATGACCAACTCAATAGTTCTCTCGGGACCATGCAGTAACGATACATTCAGATGTATGGGGTCTAGCCCCTTTTCTTTTTGTTCAAGGTTTTCGGTACTATGTTTCCTTTATTGATGATGCATCTAGGTTTACATGGGTATATCCTCTAAAACAGTAATCTGATGTGTTCAATACTTTTGTAAATTTTCATACAACCATTACAAACCAATTCTCGCTCAGAACTAAATATTTTCGCATTGATGGTGGTACCGAATATGTCAATGAAAATTTTCAAACCTACCTTCAATCTCAAGGTATATCCCATTAGCTCAGCTATTCGTATACCCCAGAACAAAATGGCCTCGCTAAGAGAAAGCATCGACATATCCTTGAAACCACTCGAACTCTCCTACATAAGGCTGCTCTTCCTTACTCTCTGTGGCTCGACACTCTCCTTATGGCTGTCTATCTCTTCAACATCCTACCTTACCCTAACACTTCCAAGAAGTCTCCCTATCAACTATTATATCGGAAACCACATCAATATTTTTTTGTTGCGCCTGTTATCCTCCTCTTCCGCCCGCAACAAGCTATTTCCCAAATCTACATTATGCTTCTTCATTGGATATGCCCAATCCTACAAGGGTTACAAGTGTCTTGACCCTACCACTGGACTGGTTTACATATCCCGACATGTTTCCTTCGATGTACAAACCTTTCCTTATCATTATCAACACTTAAATAACATTCCTACACCAACATCCACCCCCTCCGTCAATCCATCTATTCTTCTTCCCACTTCTTTACCTACCACATATGTTAATCAGAACTATACCCAATCCTCTATTGTTCCGACTCCTACATCATCTACCACTCTTTCCCCCTCTCCCTCCACTTCTGAGTTACCCACTTCACCCACCCCACCTCCTCCACCGCCAATTCAACCACCACCCTCCCATCCGATGATAACCAAATCCCAAACAAGCTCCCTCAAACCCCGTCAAATTTTAAATCTTCATTCGATTACTACATCTGATCCGACAACCTACACTGAAGCGGCTAGACAACCACACTGGAGAGCAGCCATGGCCTCAAAATTCTTAGCTCTTCAACAACAAGGCACCTAGGTGTTCGTGCCTCCACCTGTCAACACACCCATATTGGATTGCCGTTGGACTTTTAAAACAAAGAAGCACACTGATGGTACAATTGCGCGACAAAAAGCTAGATTAGTCACTCAAGGAAACAACCAAGAATACAGTCTTAATTATACAGAAACTTTAGCTCTGTCACTAAATTTCCATCTATACGAGTTCTTCTCACCATTATCGTAACCCATCAGTAGCCTCTTCATCAACTTGACATTACAAACATGTTTCTCCATGGTTCTCTCAATGACACAATTCATATGAAGCAACCACGTGTTTTTGAGGACAAGGTTTTTCCCCATCACGTTTGTCTACTCCAAAAATCTCTCTACGGACTCAAACAAGCTCCGCGCGAATGGTTCAATACTTTCTTCTCACATCTCCACTCCCTTGGTTTCTATAAAAGTGTCACCGACCCTGCTCTCTTCAACCTAACACAAAACTCCTCTCATGCTTATCTACACATCTATGTAGATGACATCCTCCTTACAGGAAACAGTTCCTCTCAACTTTTGCACATAATCTACTCTCTTAGCAACAATTTCTCCATTAAACACCTCGAAAATCCTTCCACATTTCTCGGCATACAGATCACCTCACACAATAAGCACCTTCATCTCTCTCAATCCTCCTATGCTCAATCAATTCTTCAACAGGCCGGCATGGACCTATGCAACCAGTTAGCCAACCCTTCTACCACAAAACCCCCCACTACTACTCCTACAGATCTTCCCCTCTCACTCCTAATACCTATTGGCACTTCACTGGCTCCCTTCAATACCTCACCATAATAAGACCTGACATTGCATTCGCCATTAATTCCTTGTGCCAACATATGCATAATCCCTCACCATCTCATTGCTATCTTTTTAAACGTCCTTTTCGCTACATTAAAGGCACACTTCATCTCGGTCTTCCCATATCTTCCTCTTCTCATCAACTATCGACATTCTCCGATGCAGACTGGGCAACGTACGTTGACACCAGGCACTCTACTTCCAGATACTGTTGCTTCCTTGGAGATACACTAATATCCTGGACCGTGAAAAAACAAAAGACGATATTGCTCCTC